AATATGACCTGTGCGAGTTTACAAAAACTGAACCAATTCAATGGATATGAGACAAGTGAACTTTTCTTAATATAATTGACTATTATTATAAATATATGAAGAGACTGTCATAATTTTTTTTATTTTTTTAAATCTCAACTTTATCTTCTCAAATTTATTAGGTGTCGTTTGGTAACACTTACGTTTTCAGTTTTCTATTTATATTTACAAAAATTTTAAAAACTCAAATAAAAACTTGTTTGGTAAAATTTTTGATTTATAAATCAATGGTCTCAGTTTATAAATTTGGCAAAAAAATGTAAACTCAAAAAATGGGTTTCCGTTTTGAGTTTTGAGTTTTTTTTTTTTACCACCCAACACTAGCCACCAACCGCCACCATTTTCCACCACCGTCTTCCGCCACCACCACCCACCATTTTCCACCACCTGCCACCATTTTTCACCACCGTCTTCCGCTACCACCACCCGCTATCATTTTCCACCACCGTCTTCCGCCGCCGCCACCACTCGTCACCACCCACTACCCGCCACCACCACTCGCTACCCACCTGCACCACCGCATCCACCACCCGTCACCACCATCCATCACCACCACCAGCCACCAGCCACCTACCACCACTCGCCACCACCCCCACCCCCCACCCACCTGCACCACTACCTATCATACCACCCACTCGCTACCACCCACCCACCTCCACTGTCACCCATCTACCCACCGCACCACTACCACCACCCGCCACGTACCCGCCACCACCCACCACCCCGCCATCCGCCACCCACCTGCCCACAACCACTTGCCACCCGAACCCACCACCTGACCACCACCACCACCACCAGCACACGACCACCCTACTCGCCTACCAGTCACCGACAACTCTCGCCACCGTCACCCATTCACCCACCTCGCCACCCGCCACCATCCCGACACCCGCCACCACCGCCCACCCGCCACCACACCCACCCGCTACCACCCACCACCACCCGCCATCCGCCACCCACCTGCACCACCTACGCGACCACGCGCCACCGCCACCACCACCACCCACTCGCTACCACCCACCACTGTACCACTCACCCACCACACACACGCTCCTCACTACCACCCACCACCCGCTACCCGCCACCGTTACCCACATCTACCCACCACCTACCCGCCACTATCACCCACCCACCACCATCGCATCCGCCACAGCCCCACCCTGCCACCGACCACTACCGCCCGTGTCGCCATCCACCCACCACCACCACCACCACCACCCCCCACCCGCTACCCACCACCCACCGTCACCACTTTCCACCACCGTCTTCCGCCGCCACTTGCCGCCACTTGCCACCACTTGCCATTTCTCACTCTTTTTTGTATTTTTAAATTTTTTAAACATTTTGTCAATTACTAAACGCGTTTGTAGTTTATGTTTTTCAAAAAATAAACAAAAGTCAGTTTATAAAATTTTTGTAAATATAAACTGAAAACGTAAACGTTACCAAACAAACCCTTATATTTTCTAAAAGTCATGAAGAGTCTTATATAAACTAATCATCTCTTTATTTTGGACTTAAATATTCAAAAACGATATATCTGCTTCCGAGAGTCCTATATAAATATAAACAAACTGTCTTGCTTTTTATCAAAAAAATAAAATAAAAAAAATCATCTTCCTTTTTTACATTGATGATGATTGAAGAATAAAAAATAATTATTCTTTTTTATTTTCTGTATCTGCTTCTATACTGATATACATAATATTTATAATTTTTATCATGGATCAAATCACTATGAATAATTTTGGTTGAATCTTAAAGTTGTATGCATTTATTCGAATTTAGATACAGGAAAGCTTATGCATTTTTAAAACAAAGATTTGTACTGCATCTCAAAAATTCACAGATTATCTTCATACACTTTTTTTTTTCGCTTAAATTATATTTTATGAACTGTAATATTTTACATGGTACTTTAATAACCAATGTATGATGTTAAAATTCTGAACAAGAACCACTTTTGTTGGTTTTATTTTTTTAAATCTGTTCTTCAATTTTTGATTTTTTTTGTATTTTCTCAGTTTTAGTAATTAAAGACATTGCAATTTTTTCATATTTTATATTTAAAGTATACTTTTACATGAAAATCTAATATGTAATAATTTAAATAGAATTAAAAAGTAAAATATTGGTAAAAATAATTATAAATTCAAAATTATTATTATTATTATTATTATTATTATTATTATTTAATATAAATAAATTTTCGAAAAGGAATAATCAACAAATTATTTTCTAAATGTATTTAGATTAAGTGAATCTAAATCTAGAAGTAAAATTAAAAAACAAATAAGAAAGTATTAAATTAAGTCAATCTAAAAAGAAAATAAAAGAGTTATTAAAAAAAGAAGTGTCAAAAGACAAAAAAAAAAAAACTAAAAAATTCAAAACAAAAGTTTGCAAAAACAAAGAAAACCAAACACTATGAACTTCTCTTTTTTTAGATCATTCTTCACTAATAGTTAATTTTGTACAAATTATTCACAAATTTCTTTCAATTTTTATGTGAATATAATAATGTGATTAGAAAATGGTGCATACACAAAAAAAATATAACACTAAAAATTTATATTATGACTAATTATTTAATTATGAATAATTAATTTCTCATTACCTCTATTATATTGTTGTAAAATATTTCACATATTATTTTTGTAATATCTTATATATGTCAATGCCTATATATATAAATATATATAAATGTAAATTTATATATTTTACTATAATGCTGTATTACCATCAAATAATTTAATTTTCTAACATGTTTCGCTTTAGTAATATTATTATATTTGTTAGGAAAAAAAATGTAGAATTGTGTATTATTCTCCTATCAACTTATGTTCAATACATATATACATACATGTCATACAAATAAGTACCCACAATAAACACTTTCAATAACAAATTAATACTTTGCAAAACACTTACATCACGACAATAATTATACTTTTATATTTATTTTTTCACAATAACTATATATCAATTGTATACTAATAATTAATGTTATATTTCTCAAATGATACTTAATAACTCTTGATGTATAAAAATATATTACATATTAATATTAATGTATTCTTATACCAATAGCATGCAAATAATATGTAATAATGGGTTCAATGAATTTGTACTATGAGATAAATTATTAAACAAAATTGTGTAATTAATTTCATACATTCAATTGTATTACAGGTACAGATTATGAAAAATTGAAGTGAGAAGTTAATAGAAAAATATTTATATAATACTATATATTTAAAGACCTATTGATTATTTATTGTTTAAGATAAAATTGTATTCCCAACAATGTAGTTATAAATTAATGTTTAGGTTTATAACATTTCTAATTTATCATTTAAAATTTTCAATCGAATATGTATTCATTTATTGTTTAGTTGTATTTTGAATACAAATTAATTTACCTATATAAATCTTCATACTTTGTATACATATGATATACCAATTTAAAAGACAAACATAATTATAATACTAACAATTGATAAAAAAAATTACGTTCGTCGTATAACACACGTACCCAACCAAATATATATATATATATATATATGTAAAATAAAAAAAAAGTTAGGAAGACTTTAGGGGAGATTCCATTTATCAGATTTATTTATTGCGTATTTTGGAAAGATGATGAAAAGTTAACTTTTAATTTTTTATCAAGTTTTTTGGTTTTTTTAGAAGATAATTTGAGAAGGTAGTAAAAAATTATTTTTGACATTTTTTATTAATATTTATTTATACTGTTACATCATAATTAAATGATCAAAATATTTCCATCTAATTTAGTAAATTTACAATTCCACTTATATATGGCTCATTTTGGTCCATGAAAAGTATAGTCGTAATTTTATTAGTAATTTTTTTTTACCTCCTAAAATGATTTTAATGATAAGAAGTCATTTTGTTTTTTTTGAAAAGAGGTGCAGAACACAACTTTTTTGACAAGTTGCCAAAAAGGCATGTATAAATGGTGCTTAATTTTTTATTTATTAATATTTTTAGGAGTTATTTGGGATGTTCTAAATAAGTGTACTTTTTATTTTTTTGGACTAAAAAGTTGAGGGAAAAAATATAGATGTTTGGGTTAATTTTTTGACTTTTTATAAAAAATGTGTAATAAAAAATTGTAAAAATTGATTTATAAGGAAAAATTAAGATTGAGAGTTATGCAGCCGTAATGATTGACTTTTGGTGAATAGTGTTAACTTTTTAACTTTTTGAATAATTTTTTGACTTTTTAAATTTTTTCATATTACCCAAACTTGGCCTCAGAACAAAATAAAAAAAATTTACACTTATATGAATACATTTACAAAAGCATAAATATTTTTTTAGAACAAAGTAAAAAATTTAAGGCTGTGTTTGGTTGTGATTTCAAATCACAATTTTACATTTTAATTCAAGCATTGTGTTTGGTTGTGATTCTGAAATGCTGTTTTGAGAACTCTGCACAGAACATCTGTGTTACTCTGCAACATCAGACGCGTTGTTTCTTTTTTTTTTTTGAAATTTATGCTGCGCGGGATGTCCACCCGGATGTTCTTGGGATGTTCACCCGGATGTCCTCTGAATTCCGAATTTTTTTTTTTTTGCAATTGATTTATATAATCGGGAAAAATATTTTCTGAAATTTTTTAAATTTTTTATGTGCTTTAAAATAATTTTGAGTTGTATGTTTAGTTATGAGTTGTAAATTTTTGTATCACATATCAAATGTCACATCAATAATTCTCCATTCAAATCAAACCTCTTTTTCAAAATTATTTTCAAAACTCTTTACCAAACAAATTTTCTACACTCAAATCACAATTCTACAACACATAAACTCAAAATACAATTCATACTCTCAAATCACATTTACAAAATACAACCAAACGCAGGCTAAGACTTGCCCTAACTTACCCTAAAAAAATTATGGAAAGCAACCAATAAAGTGTAGGAAACAAGTTTGTTTTATCAACCAACACGCAATCCAAAGAGATAGGGTGGCCGCCATTGTTGAAAACTGGTAAAACGGTACGATGATCCGTGATCCGTTTCTTTCCTCTATTTCTCATCACACACGCTTACGCTACCCATCTCTCTGTGCCTAATAATATGCATATCGAAGTTCTTCGATTCGAGTGAGATATCGAGTATGAGAGAAGATCGTTGACATTGACGCTTTTCATCAAAAGCTTCGCCGACATTGAATTCGAGCTCTACCCATCTCTCGTTTTCACTCAATAGGTAAACTCTCTGTTTCGTGTCTCTCAATTCAAAATTAACACACACACACACACACACACACACACTCACTGTATTTATCTATTCTTTGCTTTTGAATTTTGATTTTAATGGAGCGTAGAGCTGATAAGAACCCTAATATCATATTAAATTTGGAGCTGATAAGAACCCTAATATCATATTAAATTTGGGCAGATAATATTAATTTAATCATGAATTCACGGATTTGGTTTGCATTGATTTAATAATAATTGGAATTACCAAATGCCTTCTTATTATAATCTGTTTGATCAATTATTACTCACTGGGTGATGTATGTAGCTTTTCAACTGAGGTTTGGAAGTATTTGGGATTAGGGCATTGCCCAATTTATAATCTTTATTTAGCAAGAATCATGGGTGTGATTTGAATGGTTTGGTTATTGTTTTTCAGTAGGAAAAAAAAAAGAAAAGAAAAGAAAAATATTTTAGTGTGTCTCATAGTTTCTAGGTCATCCCAGGAATGTTTTTTTTTTTGGCATTGGAGGGCTTTTTGATGATAACTTGTGTAAAGATAGTTGTGTTTAACATTGAATGCAATAATCCAAGCCCTAGAGCAATATTAGGATAGTTAAGCACCATCGTGCTTGCAGATAAAGATGGCCATTTAGCGAAGAAGGCAATAAGAGGCTTGCATCTCTATGCATATACATATTGAGCTCTTGAAATAGAATGAAAATGAGTATGAGACAAGCGCTTTGACATTGACTGTTTAAGCAAAAGCTTTGCTGTCATGAATTGAGGTGTATCCATCTCTCGTTTTCACACTGTTTCCACTTTGTGCCTCTCAGTTCAAAATAAACACACAGACACACGCGTGTGCACAGTTGTTGTGTTTTGTATTTATTCATCCTGTTTTATAACATATTGAACTTGAATAGAAGTTACTAGTATTTAATAATTGTTTGATAGCAGAATATTAATTTAGTCATGGATTAGAGAGGTTAGTTGGGTTATCTTTCTATATTTTGAATTCACAGAGTTGTTTCACATTGATTGAATAATTCGTATTATGAAATGAATGGGCCTACACGATGCAACATTTTAACTACAATCTAATTGATGAATTATATCTCATTAATTGTGTGTATTAAATTAAGTTTAGGAAAATGTTTAAGACCTCTCAAAGGCCTCTCCTAATTTGACCACATTGACATGGCATGCTACGTGTCAACTTTTTATTTGCCACAAAAGCTAACTATATATGGCCCAACTCCCTTGCCAAGTCATTGTGGGTGAATTTGGAGAGAAAAATTGTGGGTCGCATTTCTGTCAAATTTGTCCTGTTACTCATTGGGTGATGTAGCTTTTTAACTGAGGTTTGGAAGTACTGGGAATAGGGCATAGCTTGTGCGTGTTATAATCAATTTCTATGCAAGTAATATTTTTCTAATTTATAATCTTGGTTTACACTATATTGCTGATTTAGCGAGAATTTTATAGGTTCTATTTGAATAGTTTTGTTATTATCTCTCAGTAGTAGAAAAGTTTTGTATGTTGCTGCTCCCACAGTTTTTAGGTCATCCCAGAAATTTTCTTTTGGCATTGCAGCACTTTTTGATGATAATCTGTGTAAAAGATAGTTGTGTTACAAACCTTAACTAAAATAGCATAGACCCACCAAGAGTAATTTTTGGATAGTTATGCACCATCGTGCTTGCAGACAGAGACGGATTTAGTGGAAGATAGCAACCCGCAGTTGAGTGGAGAGAGCAAGACGAGGCTAGTATACAAGATTACTTTTCTCAATGATGCTAGGGGAATAATGTTCCCTACCCCACAAAAGAAATCTACAATTTTGCATTCGGTATTGTGGGCATACTATGCCTGTGTTTGGCAAGCAGGTTTGCAGGCTTTTTTGGCTATTTTAGTCACAAAAAACAAAATAGGCTATTTTAGTCATAACAAACAAAACATCACATCCAACCTATAATCATTACATTCTTCTCTCACAAAAAAACTCAAAAAAGCCAAAAGTCAAAAAGCCCTTTCCAAACCAAGCTTTTAAGCCCAGGCTAAAATAGCCAAAAAAGCCAAAAAATCAAAAAGCCAACCCACTTTTCAAACGGAGGCTATGTATGCTAGGGACATAAAATCCCCCTTACATTTTTTTAATGTTCCTATCCTTTCAGGCTTCAAGAGAAGCTGTTGTTTTTTACCTGGCCTCCTGGGCCGTGAGATGTTATGTTTTGCGGCTAGGTCCTTAGTGGTTTGCTTTTGAGCAGGCTTCTTGGTGCCATGGGCACATCTTGTTAGCCTTGGGGGATGTGTCTTGAGCTTTGTTGTATATCTCTCTCTTTTTTTTTGGAAATAAAAGTTCGATTGTTATTAAAGAAGTGTTTGCCCAATTGACCTCCTTGAGGCCTCATAGTGTAGGACACCTGAGTTTTCCCACTTTAGATTGTAAGGTGTGGGGCTAATAGGCTTGCCACCTTGTTCAATAAAAAGAATGCATGCTACCATGCTATATGTAATTGAGTTATTGCCTTGAACATGTCTGTTAGTTAACATGATTACAATTGTTTGCAATAGAAAAGAAAAATAAACTCATATGTTATAACACGTCATTGGGGCTTCTGAAATATATTATTTTAAACGGGGAATCATAAGCAGTCAGACATGGAAGAGATTTGATCGTCTCTTCCTGACTAGAAGATGCATATACAGTCTAGATGTTTTATTTACAATCTAGATTTATGATTGTGCACATGGAGATCGACTTTGCCATTGAAATGTGTTTTATCTCTTAAAATTTAATGAAGAAACTGTGGGAAGATGTTATCCTGTAAAGCAAAATGCTAAATGCATGAGAAGATTCTTCCCCAACACCCCCTTTCCCCACCAAACAAAAAAAAAAAAAAAAACAAACAACGAAAACTAAAGTACTAATTATTTTTAATTGCATAGGTCAAATTCAGCTGTTAGCCGAGTTCAAATTTTTATATTTCTTAATTGAATTGGGAAGAAATCCAGAAAGCTATATCTATATCCGATGCTTGCATAATGCAACTTATAATATATGAATTCTTCTAAACGTTCCATTTCCTTTACTGGCTTTCTCAGCCTCCACAAGCAGACCAAAATCTCATTCTCTGAAGTTGCAATTTGTGTCCTGTACTTCCATGACATGTCGACAACTGTACTTGCAGGAGAATACATGGCTTATTTAGCAACCGCTGAAGCTTGTGATTCAAATACAGCACTTATAGTCAGTGGTGATCTGCGTTGTCTGCAACCTATCTTCCAGATTTACGGGCAGTGTAGAGCATTCTCCGGTCCGGTTGTAACCCTTAAGGTATTTGAAGATAATGTGTTGGTGAGGGAGCTTCTTGAAACCAGAGGTGAAGGCAGAGTTCTAGTTATAGACGGTGGAGGAAGCTTGAGATGTGCGTTGGTGGGAGGGAATTTGGGACAGTCGGCTCAGAATATGGGGTGGGCTGGTATTGTAATCAACGGCTGCATTAGAGATGCAGATGAGATTAATGGTTGTGATATTGGAGTTAGAGCTATGGGAACCCATCCCCAGAAATCAAATAAAAAAGGTTTTGGCGAGAAGCACATTCCTGTTCACATTGCAGGAACCTTGATTCGTGATGGTGAATGGTTGTATGCAGATAGTGATGGGATTCTTGTCTCAAAAACTGAGCTTACCGTCTGAACCTGCTGCTAAGCAAGCTGCCATTGTGAAAGACCATTTGATTTGATGATGAAGAGTACTATGTATGTAATAAAGAGGAGAGGAATGTACTTGTTTTCCTCTCGTTATTTATAAGTCAGTTTCTTATGAACTTGGACTTTTTTCTTCCTTTGCCCAAAAACAAAATGTTCCCCTTGTTTGTAGTGATCATGAAATATTTTATTTATAGTTTCAAATCTGTAATGGAATATGATGGTTTCCTCCTCAACTCGAAGCCAATAAATTTGTGTTTTCGGTTGTTTTCCCTTTGTTTCCAATCATGTTAAAGCGACCATGTCAGTCACCGTCAGTTCCTGCAACATATTGGTCATTGGCCGATATCTCACGCTGTTACTGTTGACAAGATATTGCAAATATTGTGTAGACAGACCAATATTCTCCATTTTATCTCAGATATACTTTTGCACAGTATAAGTTTTGCTTTTAATGTTCAATAATATGAATAACAAAATGTGCAAGAAAGGCAAGGAGATCAAAATGAGAATGTTGAAGTTGATTCTAATTACAATGGTTAAACTCAACCTGAACTGATTAATTCTAGATAAATATATATATTATTATTAAAATCCAAAACCAAATTGAGATTCTTTCATTAATCATAATTCATGTATAGGGATTTTCATTTTCATTTTTTTTTTTGGAAAGTTGATTACAATAATAATGTAATAATATTTCTTTTTAAAATAAGAATGTGGTATAGTAATGTATAGGGGTGAGCATGGTCCGGATTGGATTGGATTGGGATAAAATCAAGATCAATCCGTTATCTATTGAAACCAATTCAATCGGTTTAATTTATGGAACCAATCCATTTAAATATGGATTGGATCGGTTTAGGACCACGAATTCACAGAATTAAATAACAAAAATATATATATAACATTTTAATTTCATAAAAACAAAAAACATAATGCTATATTAATTCCACAATAGCAATATATATTTTTATAATAGCGACATACTGTTCTACAATTTAAACAACCATAAGAAAACTAGTTTCACCATAAGTATTTAGACCATTACAAATTAAAATAAAAACTAACAAATAAAAGAAGATATTATACGATTTTAGATTTGAATTTAGATTTTATATAAAATAAGAGAAGATACTATGAGAGAGGATGTATAATAAAAATATAAACTATTTATATACGGTCCAGATCGGTTCCAATCCAGGACCATAAGTTTCAATCCTCCGTAAATTATAAATTTTTAATTTTTAATTTTTTAATCCGAAATCAAATGACGAATTAAACCTATGAAATTAGAGTGGACTGGATTGGAGGTATTCGTTGCTCAGCCCTGGTAATGTAGTAATATTCCTTTGCTCCTTCCCCCTTCAACCCTAATGACTAGGAAAAGACGCAGTGGTGGCCACGGCGGAGGCGGTGGCGGTGGCTTGGAGAGGCTACCAGATAGCATAATCTACGAAATCCTGGAAAGGGCGGATTTAGAGACGCTTTGCTCCGCAGCTTGTGTCTCCGACACCATTCGATCCTCTGTCTACCGTGTCCTTTCCTCTCTCCCCACTCTCGATCTCTCTGTAAGTAATCGATCAGTCTTATTTACTGTATTTTCATCAGAATTTCTCTGCTGATTGGGAATATATACTGTGGTGGTGGTTGTAGTCGTTTTCTCCAGATGTGGAGACTCTGGATTGCATTCTGAATCGGTTTGGGGGAGGACTCAGAAGCCTCACCGTTGATTGCCTACGCCTCCATGATTCTTCTTTCGTCACCAATTTGCTTGGAGAACAAATCCAGGAATTGAATTTGTTCAAGGGTTCATTCTTATCGCATGAAGTTCTTGCTTCCATTGGACGAACATGCCCTAATTTACGGTATGACTCGATTCATATTCAGAATTTCAAATTTTAGATCTTCATTAATGCACAATTTGAATGCCTAACTATTGATTGATGTGCTTGTCATGGATAAATTACAACTTTCTGTTCATAGATAGATCGTTACCAAGGACTATTATTATAAGACTTGAATACATGGACTCAGTTTGTTAAATCCAGAATAAGATTGGGTGTGTTGGATTTTGGGAATTTAGATGTTGTCGATCTAAAGTAAGTCATTAATCTGATTACATTAATGGCATTATTAGAATTTAGGAACATTTTCACATGATTTATAGGGAGTCCGGATTCTCTGCCATGCCTTCCTGCGGCGCTCCCTGCCGTGATTCCAAAACCACGTCGTTTTGGTACATTTTTTTTCCCTTTTCTTTTTCCTTTCCCCCTCTTTTCTTTTCTCTCTCAGCTCTCAAACTTTTGTGAGACCACATGCACAACCCTAACGAATGAACAGAGAGACGAAGAGGGACGGCGAGGCGACAGTGGCGAGAATCTCTAAAAACAAAATTTCTCTCACTTGCCACAAATCGAAGCAAAAAAAAGAAAACAAAAACATCTAATATTGACCCATATAGACACAAAAATTCAAGCTGCATTGTTAATTAACAATCCAATTTGCTTTCAAAAAGGGCTGCTATAAAAAGTCTTCATCAAATTATGCTAGTATGTTTTTTTTTTAATATTCTAGACAAGCTTTCTTTTCATATTTGATCAAGTTGAAGAAGCTCCAAAAGAGATCATTAATGGTTGATTCAAGCATTAAAGCAGTAAAAAGACCCAATAAAGAAAACCAAATTTTCAATCAAAACCCACAATCAAAGCCAAGAAGAAACAGTGAGAAGACGGACTTTGTTCCAAGCTAGAGAGAGAAACCGAGTTTCAGATTGAATCAGTGAAAACAGAGAGCTGTAATTGTAGTTCCATAGAAGAATCTCAGCTTGACTCCTCACGTAATGGCTAAGGGCTACTGACTTGAAACCGGCACTCTTCATCAAAACCCTCCATTGTTCTTTGTCTTCCATACGTTCACGACCAAAACCTCGCCTGGTTCGGCCTAGAAGCTCGAACTGTTGAGAGAGAGAGAGAGAGAGAGAGAGAGAGAGAGAGAGGAGGAGGAGGAGGAGGAGGTTGAGGATCCATTACACTCAATCTTGATTGGAGTCGCCGCTGCCGTCGCCGTCGCCTCACCGCCCCTCTTTTCTCTCTGTTCGTTTGTTAGGGTTGTAGATGTGGTCTCTCAAACATTTGAGAGCTGAGAGAGAAAAGAAAAGAGCCAAAGGAGAGAGAAACGAGAGATGGAGGTTAAAAAAAGTGCCAAAATGACTTCGTGTTGGAATCACAGCAGGGAGCGCCGTAGGAAGGCACGGCAGAGGATCCGGACTCAATTTATAGGTACTAACCATTGAGATATACCTATTTCTGTTACCAATTCTTGGAGTGTGATTTTCAATCTATTTGTTTCATTGAGAAAATGTACTTCTAGGTTCCATGAGCTTTGAGTAGAACCAAAGCAACCCCCTCTAAAAAAAACCACAAAAAACAGGTTTGAGCAGAACTTATCTTGAGCCAAGAAAGTCAGATTGATACACCTTTATAATTTTATGTCCATGTGTCATTTTCCATCCTGTTGAACTGTAGCCAGTAAAAGTGGGTTTTAATCCATAATCTATCCCAGCAAAGAAACTGAAAAAAAAGAGAGAAAAAAAAAAATCCTGTTTTTATAGTTGCAGAGGCATATTTATGTGAAGGAGTTGGGTTTATTAAGTTCTATTAATGAGTTTTGTTGCTCATGTCAGGGTACTTGTGCTGGAATTGGCAGGAGGAGACTCACCAGAGATGTTCAAGAGGAACCTTACACATATGCTTAACAGTTGCTCATGGTTGGAGGTGAATTAATCATGATAAAAAACCTTGTTTCATCATCATCATCATCTTCTTCTTCTTCTTTAATATAGTCAATTTAAGCAGGGTTTCTTTTTTTAATTGTGACAGTCACTTTGTATAAAGATCCGAGGGACAGAACTTGATGCAAATGGTTTTCAGTCAATGAAACTGTCTCTTCCCAAAACTGTCAAAGTTCTAAAATTGCAGCCACTGCTTATACAAGATGCCATCCATTTCATACGTGAACTCAGAGATGACAACATTTTTTTGCAGAACTCAACTAGACTCAGCATCCCTGTCTGTCCAGTGTCTCCTGGTTTCGCTTTGCAGAGTTTATCACTTGTCTTAGATATTATATCTGATGAGCTTGTCATCTCCATCACTAAGTCTCTCCCATTTTTGGTCGAGCTCGATCTTGAAGACAGACCTATCGAGCAACCACAGCTGCCCTATGACTTGACAAATAGCGGCCTTCAGACCTTGGGGACTTGTCAGCATTTAACTGGTCTCTCTCTTGTACGAAATAGACAAAATCACCCAGTTTCTTTCAAAGCAGTAAATGATATGGGCATGTTCCTCCTTTCTGTGTGTTGCAGAGGCCTACAATCAGTGACATTCGGTGGATTTTCTAAAATCAGTGATGCTGGCTTTGCAGCAATTCTACAATCCTGCAATGACTTGAAAAAATTCGAAGTTCGCAACGGATCACTATTATCAGACTTAGCAATTCATGATATGAAAGAGGCCCCCTGTTCCCTTGTTGATGTGAAGTTGTGGTCTTGCAGTCTTATAACTAGTGAAAGCATCGATGAATTGGCCTCTTCGAATGACTTGGAGGTGCTTGACTTGTCTGGCTGCCGGAGCATTGGAGATTCATGCTTTGGTTCCATTTCATCCCTTCATACGCTAACTACGCTAAATCTAGGTGGCGCTGATGTTACTGATGTTGGTCTGGCCCGGAAGAGGGAATTCACCCATCACACGTTTGTGTCTCAGAAGCTGTAAGAGGATAACCGACAGGGGGATTTATCTTTTATTGAATGGTGGAGGGACAATTAACAAGACATTGTCAGCCCTAGATGTGGGATATCTTCCGGGAATATCCGATGAGGCTATTTTCACTATTGCTATGGTTGCGCGAAGTGTTACAGAACTGTGTATTAGGTATTGCTTTTTTGTGACCGATGCATCGTTGAAAGCATTGGCTTCAGGGAGAAGGTTGGAAGATGGGGAAAAACTGATTCGGAGGCTTGATCTTTTTCGCTGCCATGGGTTGTCTGTTAAAGCATTAGGGTTGCTGAAGAAGCCTTTGTTCCGTGGTTTACAGTGGCTTGGTGTTGGGGATACTCATTTGACTAGCAAGGGAGAGAATTTGTTGACTCAGATTTGCAAGGAACGACCTTGGCTGACTGTGTGTAGGGATGGATGTGAAATGGGATGTCATGATGGATGGCAATTTCACAAATTTGATTGTCGTTAATTTTTATGTACTTTCTTCCCCAAAACCCTTCTTGATAGGTGTTGACTTGGCGCCATGGCAAGTGCTATTCACCTCCAACTTGTAAAATTGGTTTACTCACATAAATCAATCTGTTGTGTACATTTACGAACCCCCCCCCCTATTTAACATTTTCAAAAACAAAAAATAAAATAAAATTGTACCAATCTAATGTTGGCAGTGCATCCAAGTTCCTCCACAGTTTCGTAGTTTTTACTATCTGACGTGGCTGCATGAACTCTACAACACCACAAACAAAACTCTGGATCAAAGCGATGGTTTTTCTCTGATTTTTGTAGCAAGCTGGTCTGAAAATACAGCCATTTTAGAGGTCGCTATTCTAATTTAAACAAGTGCAAAATAAACTCCTAAAGTGCATGTTTATGGAATTGTAGAGAAATAGGTCTCCTCCAAATTCAACAAGAAAGGTTACATCCCAATGTCTACAAAAATTGCTCCCTGTTATTCATCCTTTCATCTCCCCACTATTCTTCATTGTTCTATTCTTGGAACATTCTGATATACAACATATATATATATATATATTGAAAGAGAGAATATTTGAAAGTCAGCCAAAACAATTCCAAGAATTCCCAGATTCTAAAATTAATAAGCAGAGCATTGTTAGGCATAATTTTGCTAGATAACATGCACACAAGGAATATATGCATTTTTCTATGAACGTAAAATCAAAAAATTAGCAATTTGAATAGTAAGTGCCTGTACTAGGGGAAAAAACCCACAGCTAGAGGTCACAAACACATGCCCATTCAAATCATTGTTAGCCCCAATAAACATCCACTCAACAATAAGAAAAAAAGCACAGAAGATACACCTCAAATGGGAAAACCAAAAAACTATTTAACGACCCTATTTGTCATGCCTTCTAAGATCCAATGCTATGCACACAAAAGGGTGTGCTGCTGATTCTTCTCAAGTATGCAGGGCGATGGACTGAAAATATTGAGCGACTTTCAGAAAAAAGCAGATCGACCTCCCCTTCTACTATGCCTGTCATACGCAGTGTTGAATTTGTCAACCAGTTCATTCATAGTACTGCCCAAAAAAATAAAGATAAAAATTAGTAGTGACAAATAAATACTAAATGGCTGCAAGTCAAAACTAATATATGCAACTCAAAAGGCAAAAAACATAAGAATAGATAAATGAATAGAGGCAAGGCCATAGCATTCATATAAGGATGGATATAGGTTTTGCCAATGGATTATCAGACAGGGTTTCCATGTCTTGTATTATTAGGATGTAAATATAAAAATAAAATATTACATGGAAGAGGAATTGACAATATCCTTGGTTTAGCAACCTTTTTACTTCACACAGTCAAAAGGTTTTGATTGAGATCAAATGGCAAAAATCAATCCCTGAAGACGATATTTCATACATTTGATCCACAAAAATGTGTACTGAAAGCTTGTACAATCTTTCATGCTTTGCAGGTTTTCCCCCAGAAATACTGCAACCTTTTCTAGAAGTAATCCCACCAATTTTAGAGGGACCATACCACATATTCCAACAGTTATCTTAGGTATAAATTATCCACTATTTAGGTTTCATTCTTAATGCCACCCAACTCAAAACCAACCATACAAACAACCCCCACTCCCTAAAAATAAAAATGAAAAACACAATGAATTGGAAGTGTAGCAATAAATTTGATTTCTTTTTTCTTGGTCAAGAGTTCGATATTGAGAAAAAATGAATTCCATCCAAGATAACAAAATTCATACCTTGAGCAGTTGGTGAACATGGCCAGGTAACTAATCAATAAGGTGTCATTGTATTCCTGCAAACAGCAGTGATGGAATCAAACATCAGATAGATGGTGCCAGGGCAGCTTAATCAGCAGTCCAGTCCAATATTATCAAATGATATACAATCAAATACTTTACAGTGAAAAAGGAAAGGGGGGAGGCCCAGGAAGTACCATCACAGGCAATCACAATTATTTGATTCCCACCCCAACCTCTTCTTTCTAGTAGTTATTCTTGTGAATTGGTTGGAATAAAGGTACATTCTATTGATAGTATAACTGGCTAAGGTAAATTCTATAAAAATTGCCTAAAAAAATGAACCTCCGCAAAAGAATGAAAATTTAAATAAGAAAAGAAATTTGATAAGTTAATGTACTAGAGAAATATTAAGGTTTTGTAGGCCAAGGAATTGAAAGCACTAACCATCAAGAAATCATCTTGAAATTTCTCAGATTCAATGGCTGGTAATCTCCTCAAGAGACTAGAAACTTGTCTAAGCAATGAATTTTCACAAGGTATGTCACCTGCATTTGAGACGGAGATATTATCAATCAGATTCTGGACTTTCAGCCCCAACATGACACACTTCTGTTTCCTATCTTCATGAACAAAGTAAACACATGTGCAATCGAACCAAGTTTTCATATTATTACTCTCCTGGATGCTCCCCGCACATTTCATAAGATGCTCTAGATGTTTCCATATCATTAACTTGTTTCAAACCCACCTATGTCAGTCAATTCAAAAGTAAAATACCCCAAAAATGGTTAATTTGGAGTTTTTATTTTTTTACTTTTTGAGATGAGAATTCAATGCCTTCTTGAAATTTACCTTTCTAGTTTATGGTGTCTTTTTGCAATTTTATTGCCCAGGTAATTTGTTTTTCACAGTTTGTCTTGCTCACAGGAATCCCTTTCCACTTACCTCTTCTTTCTGAAGAAGCTTGTTCCCCACACAAGTGAAAACACATACCTTTCTGCATGGCAAGAAGATAGTGGTGAAGCACTCTGATTCTACTATTCAGCATCTTGATAGCACTGTGTATGCCCGTTAGGTGAGCAGCCACTACAGAAGAAACACAAAGTTTGTTGGTCATTCACACTTTCACTTCAGATGCTTTTTATTTTTTTATTTTTAGAAAAAGGTCAGAGACAGATAATAGAACTTGGACAATAATTGAAAATACGTTGGGAAGGACTCACATTGAGTTGCAGCAGAACCTCCATCAGATGGTTTAAGGTGGGCAACATGGTCAACTGAGATTCGTTCTGCTTCCACCGTCTTTGAAGCAACAAGAAAATGATTTAATCACTATTCTGGAACACTTGGGTGAAATACAATAAAACAAAGTAACAAGAGGAACCTCAATAGTGTAGCTTGAACGGACAAAAATAAGCTGCGGAATCCCATCTATGACGTGCAGCTCTAAAGTTGTGAAGATTAGTCCCATAAAAGAGTGTTAGCGTATCCACAAAAGTAGCAAATAGCAAAAACAAAAAGTATTGATTGTCACAGTTCTTAGGATATAAATATCAATAAATGCAATTATTAGGGTATAAAGCCGCACTAGATAAGTTAAAGCATTGATTGCTACCGTTATGGTGGCCTCCAGTGCCACCATTACTTAAAACCTTGGATGCCATTCGTAAAGCGTAAAACATGATGTATGCTTCTAACAAACTGAATGAATTTGCAAGGCCAATATTGAGGATTATAAAATATAACAGCACTCTTCAATGACAGGCCATAATATCAATATAAGTCATTCAAGAAAAGCTTGCATACACAATAAATAAATAATGACATTGATTGGATAACAAAACTTAAAAGAGTAGATACATAATATAAGATAATAATGCACGCTACGTACCACTTTCATATATAGTCACTGGAAGATCCTTCTGTGCATGATTGATTGAAGGGTTGAGAAGAACATACACGGGGCTTTCATTAATATCCATCAACTGTTATGGGAAGGGCACTCATCACAATGATTTGCCAAATATAAATAAGCTTCTTAGCACAAAGCAATTCCAATGAATATTGTACTTAAGCACATGCTAGGAAAAAAATTTAGCAAGCCATATAAAGGCATGTGAATCTTGGAACAAAAAGGTTTAACCATTGAAGATGCAACAGTACATTAGAGGCAGTCTAGTTGGTAGATTTATGACGTATGCATGGATTTTAATCCAAAAACTGATGCCTATATCCGTAACTGATGTTTATATCAGTACACACCCAAGCCATTTCCAAACTACATGCACCCGATGTGACAAGAGACCATGCATGTAGTATGGAAGCATCTTGGGCTGCAAACACTAACCAACCAATATTCATTAATCATGTTCGTCTTCACACGCAAATGCATTCAACAGAAATAGAACATCAAATACTGCCCTAAAAAAATAGTTAAAACTGGTTTCCTTTGGCAACTACTCATCCCCAATAAGTCGGGCCCAATCTCATATAATGCTTAAATCACAAACATTTTAAGTGCCTTCAATAACAATGTATCATACAGGAATTCAGTTAACATTCATGCCACAACATTAACCCCTCAGCCACCATACCAAAAACATAAAAACAGCCCCAACCCCTGCCAGAAAGGAAAAGCGCAAGAGCGATTAATAATTGTATCCAGAGCTCAAGCCCTCCCCTACATATATTTCTGCTGCTTCTTGTATATAGTACAATTATAATAACAATATATATATTCTACATTTTATTGTAATAATTGTTTGCAGACTTGTAAGCGAGGTTTGGAACTTACAGCTTTGTGTATCTGCATATCTGCTTCTTGGGCTTCACTTCCAGTTGAATACCATCCCAGTATATAGAAATTGGGAAATACTTTCTTATCTGTTCCAAACAAAAATCAATCTCTTAGTAAACCCTAGAACCCCCCAAAGACAACCAAACAAAAATCAATCTTCTAGCAAACCCTAGAACCCCCAAAGCAAAATAATAATAATAATAATAAAAGAAAATCATAGAAAGAAAGAGAGGGACTGACAAAGTTCTTGCTTTTTCTCGAGGAACGGTCGATCGAGGGAATGGGTGGAGGGATCGGAGAGGAGCTCGAAGCTGTTGAAGATCTCGACCGTGCGTCCCCTCTGGACGCCGATGACGCAGCCGAAGATGGTTGCTTCGCCGCCGTTGGCGGCGGCGTGAGGTGGCTGTGATTGGGACTTAAGACGAGTGTAGTGATCGGAGATGTTGAGGATTACGAGTGGGTGGAGCTTGAATGTCAGTCCGCTGCTCGATGACGATGCCATTCTTCTCTCTCCTACCTCCGATGATCAGATCAGACCGACTTCACTCTGCTTTATGGTTGATTGATTCCCAGGAAAAGGGTTTTAGCTTGCTGCTTGTGGATTTTCCCGGAAAATTATATTTGATTCGATATTAGTTTTTTTTTTTTCATTTTATAATAAAGAAATTAGAAGTACAAAAGTATAAAAAAAAAATAGGGGTAGCATCCACAAAGCCATGAGGAATATCCATATAGACCTCTTCTGCGAGGTTTCCATGAAGGAAAGCATTCTTCACATCAAACTGATGAAGTGTCCAATCCAAAATCGATTCAGAGAAAATTCGGCTCCGTTTGGTAAGCCTCTTAAATTATATTTTTACTCATTGATTTGAGTGTTTTGTTTGTTTTGAACTTTCAAATCATAATTCCACACTCATTTCTCAAAACTCCATTCAAAATATAATTATTACTTTTTAAAACTCATAACCAAACACATAATTCAAAACTCTTTTCAAAACTCAATTCAGCCTCCGTTTGGGAAGTGGGTTGGCTTTTTGGCTTTTTGGCTATTTTAGCCTAGGCTAAAAAGCTTGGTTTGGGAAAGGCTTTTTGGCTTTTTGGCTTTTTTGACTTTTTTTGTGAGAGAAGAGTGTAATGATTATGAGTTGGATGTGATGTTTTGTTTGTTGTGGCTAAAATAGCCTATTTTGTCTTTTGTGGCTATTTTAGCCCCAACCTTGCTTGCCAAATTATGTGTTTACAATTTGAGTGTAGAGTTTTTTTAAATTTAAAATATTAACATTTTAAATTATTTCAAATTTTTGAATATTTAAATTTTTACGATTTAGATTTTTTCAATATTTATTTTAATTTTTTACTTATTAAATTTTTTAGATTATTTAAATTATTTAAATATTTATGTTTTAAATTTTTTGAATATTTATTTTGAAAAAAAATTATTTCCTTTGTAGTATTTTCAATTAAAAAATTGATTAATGTTATTTTCTGTTAATAATAATTTTTTTAATTGAATTTTTAAAAAGAGTTTAGGTATGAGTGTTGATTAGAATTTTCAATAGTGTGAAAGTAGTGTGTTTTGTTATGAGTTATAACAATTTGAATTAAGGCCTCGTTTGGCAACCGAACTTTTTAGCCAAAAAGCCAAAAAGTTACTAAATTAGCCAAAAAACCAACAACCCATACCAAAAATTCAAAAATTCTCTTTTCTCTCTATTTTTTGCACATCTTTTCGTAAAAAATAAAAAAGTCATCCCAAACATACTAGTTTTTTTTAGCTCATATTTTAGTCAAATAGCTAAAAAGTTACTGTCACGCCCCAAACTCGCCTCTAAAAGTTTGGGCATGATCACTTCAGAAACGGACATGAAATTCAGTATACATACATATGGGGTCTGAACGGAAGCATTAAATATCATAAAATAACATGAAATAAAAAGAATCTACATCCATTGAGCGACCACTATCATGCCAGGATCACAAACAGTGAATCAGAGGACAAATATTTACATACACATATACAACCCCGCCCCTTGTTTTGGTGTATAACAAAAACATTGGAAACTTCAACATATTATAAACAATCAGAATATAAGCTAAAACTTAGCAAAACTTCACCAAACGGGTAGGCTTCACCCAAATGCTTGGACACACAGAGGCTGACAAAGGGAGACGAGCATCGAGGGTTATGGCTGACCTCCAGACTTATTACCTACAGAATTAGACAAAAAAAACAAAGTGAGACGATCTCAGTGGATAATAGCACTTTAATAACTCAATGTTCAACTTGAATTATAATGCAGAGCAAAGCGTATATAATGTAAAGGACATGTAGTTAATCTGATTCTGTACTAATTTTAAAACGGCCTTAGGCCCCGTTTTTAACCAGAATGGCTTTAAGCCCTTGAACAGAATGGCATTGAGCCCTTTAACAGAACGACATTAAGCCCTTATCAGAATGGCATACAACCCTTATCAGAATGGCATTACAGCCCTTATCAGAATGGCATACAGTCCTTTTCATGTATGTATGAATTCAAAAGGTGGCTCGCACGGATTTTAGAGGTGACTCGCATGGCAGCACTTAGTTCCGTGCAGCACTTTGTTTCATACTAACAGATCATACAGAATGGCCATAGGCCCAGATGTCACAGATTGGCCATAGGCCTCACATACGTCACAGAACGGCCATAAGCCGCATAACTTTCACAAAACGGCCATAAGCCTCAGTCCACATATATATGGACTCAAGAGGTGGCTCGTACGGATTCTAGAGGTGGCTCGCACTGCAGCACTTAGTTCTGTACAGCATTTTGTTCCGTACTAGAAATCATTAGGTCTTAAAGACGGAACAATGCATATTATGTCATAACAAAACATAACTGGAACGGATAAACAGAAATAGAATAACCTCAGTTCCTTAAAAATATAATTATGGGATAGTGCACATAATTTCTCATGACTTAGTTACAGATTAACACAGTTATCTCGCGTATAGCGGAATAAGAATATTACAGAGAGCACATAATAACGTTAGACCTTTGCATTCATATCGTAGGCTCTAAATGACCTCGGGTCCATATGTAACACAACAGAACTATTTCAGATTCATATGGATGCACATAGCTTATCCAATTATTCTGATCCTTCAGAAATATCCATACTCGATGAGTTATAACTGAACGGCCTCAGGCCCATTAGTAGCAAAATGGTCTACTTTCATAGTTACACTAAAACCGTTATTCAAGAATGAACATAAGTTCCCTTTTAGTCATTATACACATTTGTTTCATCGTTCATGCCACCATTTCATCGTATTTGTTAATTCAGTCAGAGTGCAACATCCACGGTATATGTCGTTCTCGACAATTTTATATAAATGTTAATGTAAGCACTTACGAAGCACAGAACGTTAATAACATTAATTATTAACGGTAAGTAAAATGTACGTCTACTGTACTACTACTCACAGTGTTGTGACGACGTGCTAGTTCCTTCCGAGTGTGTCCTACGCACATTAATAACTTAAAATTAGCTCTTTTTTCTTTGTTAAATCATTTCCTGACTTATTTGTTTCGAATGTATTTACAAATAGCAAAAAGGCATCAAACACAGATTTTAAAAATATCCGAGGGACGAGCACGTAAAACGGAGCAAACCAGTTTTTCCAACATGGGCCGCACGTGCGGCTGTGAGCCCCGCACGTGTGGTGGTTGGTCCCGCACGTGCGGCTGGGAAGCCCCGCACGTGCCTTTTTAGTAGTAGTAAAACTCCAAAATTTCTTCATTTCCCGCACGTGCGGCCATGACTCCCGCATGTGCGGCGATTCTGTGAAGTTCCAGTCCGAAATTTCAAACAAGGATCTAATTTTTGGTAAGCTTTTACAAGGCTCCAAATGGGTCTTTTAATTGCTAAAACATGGTTTGAAAATCATGTAGTCAAGAGGTACAAACATATAACAATTTGAATATGACTTGATCTTCACTACTATCACTTATCACCCCAATTCATTTCCTTTAACATCTAACTACACACGTATATCCAACTCACACATAATTGGATGCAAGCATGTAGAACCAAGAATGGGATGTAATTTCCTTTATAAGACTTAACTTAACACAAATAACTACATGAAAAAAAAAAACACCTATTCAATTCCATAATTGGCATATACACACAACACAAACCTTGACTTGCATGAATACCCATGAAATTCCTCATCCATATACAAGAAAGGAGTTGATTAAAGTAAAATCTCCATACCTTGAGCTTTAATATCTCTAAAACTCTCTTAATTTCTCAATCCCTTCCTTGAAGGGCTTCTCCTCCTTCTCCTCAAATTCTCCTTTCCTAACCTTCTCATGATATTTGAGTTAAAGGTTCATAAGTCAAATATTAAGGGACAAAGGATAACTATATCCATAAAGTAAATAAAACAAAAATTAATCAGTTTAATCATTCCTAATTGAAATTTCACAAAAGTGCTTATTATGACTTAAAAATCATGTCGATCTCAAATATAAAATCAATTTCAGATTATCAGGCCTTTAAGACTCTTAATTCCTGAGTCAAACATTTTACTTGTGACAGATATATTTTCTTATTAAACAGATACAGGTTTCTAATCATAAGATCCTTAAACTTAAATATCACATGAAATTTCACAGTAAGCATCTAAATGCACAGAATAAGGGACTGAAAGTATATCAGAAACATGTGCGAGGGTCGGGTTATTACAGTTACTAAATTAGCCTGTTCCCAAATGAGGCCTAAGTTTTGAAGACTCCTTCCCAAACTCATAACTAAACAAATTTTCTTACTTAACATGTGAAATCAAACTTTCAAAACTCAATTCAAAACTCAATTCAACACTCTATTCAAAAACCATAACCAAACAATTTTTCTACATTCAAATCATAATTCCACAGCTCACGAACTCAAAATACAACTCATATTCTCAAATCATATTTACAAACTCTACCAAACATATTTGGTTAGCTTCTCCAAACATATTTCCACATCTTGTTTTGAGTGTCTTGTTTGTTTAGAATTTTCAAAAATTAATTTCACACCCACTTTTGAAAGCTTTTTCCAAGGCAGGAAAATTTAGGCTAACCAATCGCTCGGACGTCCGGTTGATTGACCAGAATAGTGCAAATTTTTTTTAACAATTGACACCTGTTATTTTTTATATTTTAAATAAAAAAATTGAAAAATTTTAAAATTTTTTATAGTGTTTTGAATATAATTTTGAGTTGTGTGTTTGGTTATGAGTTGTAAGTTTTTGTATCAAAATCATATGTCACATCAAAAATTCTTCACTCAATTCAAAACTTTTTTGAAAACTCATTTACCAAACAAATTTTTCACACTCAAATCATAATTCCAAAACTCACAAACTTAAAATACAACTCTATTCTCAAATCATATTTAGAAAATTGTTAATTTTTGAAACTAGACTTTACAAATACAAAGCAATTCACTGTGCTCCATTTAGAATACCTGTATATTCACCATTACAGTGGCCTAGAGAGTGAGAGAGAGAGAGCTTTACATCAATGACGTTTTCTTACAAACTAGAGAAATTCTTTCTGATTTAATTTTCCATGTTAATTTTCTCTGTGTG